ATCTAAAAAAAATTGTTAGGAACAAGTGCATTGAATAGATATAAGTAAAAGTTTATAAATGGACTTTTCAATAATAATTACATTTTATGTTCTATCTACTTAAAAGTTATCTCTCAAGAGTCTTAAAAACATGCTTGTAGCCCTCAGCAGGACATCAGCTGGTCTTATCTGAGCTGGGAGAAAGAGAAACAAGATGAACAAGGAGATGAATAACAAAAACCTTCCACAAACTGACATCAATAACCTATAAGTTTCACAGTGAAACAACTTAACCCTGATAGTGACCAAGGGTGGCACTAATACCAATTTTTTGGTCAATCCATCATATATGAGAAAATAACCAAAAGGGGGAATTGTTAAAGTAATTAACCTGGGGGCCATTAGACTGAGCTGCCTCTAATGCCTTGGTAGACTGTGTAACCCAGAGTCAATTCTTGTAAATGCACTTGTACTGTAGACAATGACACTAAACAGTCACAAACAGCCGCCTAGACTTTCCCAAATTAGTCAACCTACTAAGCTGTAGGCCATCAAATAACTTCCTTGCTCTGCTTCCACATCTGTTCTTTACAAGCCTTTTCACAAGCTCCTGTCAAGCACTTTCACTTTGGTGCTGCCTGGTTCAAATTGATATTAACTCAAATAAACTCTTGAAAAATGTTAATAATCCTCAGTTTATCTTTCAATGTTATGAAATGAATGTTTGTGTTTCCCTCAAAATCCATGTGTTGAAGCCCTACCCCCCCCCCCCGATTGTGATGGTATTTGAAAATGGGGCCTTCAGGAGGTAATTAGAGTTAGGTGGGCTCCAGATTTGCTATTTAGAAATGACACAAGGGGGACGCCTGGATGGCTCAGTGGTTGAGCATCTGCCTTCGGCTCAGGCGTGATCCCTGGGTCCTGGGATCATGTCCTGCATTGGGCTTCCTACGGGGAGCCTTACTTCTCCCTCTGCCTATGTCTGTCTCTGCCTCTCTCTCTGTTTGCCTCATGAATAAATAAATAAAATCTTTACCAAAAAAAATGACTCAAGGGAGGAGCACCTGGGTGGCTCAGTAAGTTAAGCATCTGCCTTCGGCTTAGATCATGATCCCGGATCCTGGGATCAAGCCCTGAGTTGGGCTCCCTGGCATTGGTCTCCCTGCTCAGCAGGGAGTTTGCTTCTCTCTCTGCCTCTGCTGCTACCCCCTGCTTGATCTCTCCCTCTCAAATAGATAAAATCTTTTTTAAAAATAACACAAGGGAAATAAGATAAAACTACATCAACAGAAGAAAAATAATACTAATAATTAATGTGTTCTTTAAATCAATGTCCCATATGTTTAACTTTTTTTCACTAGAGTAGGATTATATTATATGTTTGAGAGAATATACCACCTAGAAGTGATCAGAAGTTGCAAAAAAAAAAAAAAAGAAGCGATCAGAAGTAGAAAAAATACATAATTTCAAAGGAATTTCTTCAGCCTAAAACAGAAAATGTTATGAACATCATCATTTCCAATCTTTTCCTTCCAAATGTGGATTAAACTTACATTTGCCCATGGAGCTAAAGGAGATCCAGCCAACAGAAATCTTATTCTAAAAGATGATTTCACATGACATACTTATTGCCCCTAGTAAACATTATGCTACCAGCCTACCTTCAGCTGGGTGAGGACTTTGAGAAGTTTTTGCTGCTCAGTGAATAAAATATTAATTTAATGGAAGAATGGTTTTTCCAATATCTTTCATACAGTAGACATTTGTAAGAAGCTGACTTACTTTGACCTGACAGTAACCCTGGGCATGGACACATGACATCTTTACAAAGTTCTCTAACCAGCTATCATAACAGCCTCTTCATTGGTACTACCAAAGTAGATCTAATATCAATAACAAAGGATTTCACTTATTTGTGATACCAGTGCCCTAAATTCCTACGGCAACCGAGCTTTAGGATTTTCCAGGTCAAGTCTATTAGATTTGTCCACTGGCCCCATAATGACAATCTCCCACAATTTAAAAATATGGTCACTGTGGTAGCAGCTCTTAGTAATCCCACCTCCCAGTGACTCCTGCCTTTCTCTGATCCTCTCTCCTTGAGTATGTGCTAGACCTACTGAGTTTCTTCTAAGGAACAGAATACAGCAAAGGGAAAAGGACTGTCACTTCTGAGCTGAGGTTACAAAAGACCATGACTTTCATCTTACTTGCATTCTGTTGGGTCGTTCTCACTTGTTCACACAAATGAAGCAAGCTGCCAGGTGGTAAACTGCCCCACGGAGAGCCTGATATGGCAGGAACTGAGGGCAGACTCTAGTCAGCAACCAGTAAGGAACGGGGCCCTTAGTCCACTTGCATTTGAGGAACTAAATCCTGGCAACAGCTATGTGAGTGAGCCTAGAAGTGACTCCTTCCCCAGTTGAGCCTTGAGATGACTATAGCTCCAGCTGGCACCTTGACTCAGCAGTGGTTTTTGAGCCAGAGGATCTGCAGCCAGCTCCTGTTACAGTCAGATAATAAATGTTATCTTAAACCGCTAAGTTGTAGAATACTTGTTATGCAACAATAAATAACTAATACAGTCACGGCAGCCAAGGTAATAATAATAACAGCAAACATGTAGCAAGAGTTTATTATGTGTTGAGCACTCCAATAAGCCCTTCATCTATGCTGCAGGTGAAAGGAAACAGATCGAGCTAACTTAAGCAAATAGTAATAATATTCTCAAAATAACATTTTTTATTTCTAAGGAAGTTATTAAACCATATAAATGAAGAGTCTAAGATTAGTTCTTCAGGGACAGTGAATTGCTCAAATGATGTTAGGAATCGGTCTGCCTGCCTATCTATTCTGGTTCTCAGTGAGCTTATTTCATTCTTAAGCAAGTTCTGTGCAAGTATTGGCAAAGATATACACCAACGGGACCAGACTTATATTTTACTAGTTAGTAACCTCAGTGGAAAACAAAATTGCTGGATATTATGGTATCTATGTTGAACATTTTGAGGAACTGCCAAACTGTTTTCCAAAATGGTTGCAACAACATTTTACATTTCCATGGATAACGTCTGAGAGTCCTAGTTTCTCCACATACTAACATTTATCATTGTCTGTTTTTTTGCCAACCTATTGAGTATAAAATCATTGTGATTTTGACTTGCTTTTCCCTAATGGCTAATGATGTCGAGCATCTTTTCATGGGCTTATTGGCCATTTATGTATTTTCTTTGGAGAAATATTTATCTAGACACATCACCCACTTTCAGTTAAATTTTATTTTGTTTTGTTTTTTCAGTTGTAAGAACTCTTTACATATTCTGGATACAATTCCTTTATTGTGTATATATGATTTGCAATATTTTCTATTTTGTAGGTTATCTTTTCACTTTCTTTCTGAGGTTCTTTGAAAATCAAAGTTTTTCATTTTGCTGAAGTCCAGTTTCCCTGTTTTTTCTTTTGTCCTTTGTGCTTTTGGTATTGTATGTAAGAAGGCTTTGCTTAATCCAAGGTCACAAAGATTTACCCCTACATTTTCTTGTAGCAGTTTTATAGTTTCAGCTCTTACCTATACATCTATGATTCATTTTGAGTTCATTTTTTCTGTGGTGTGAGGTAGAAGTTCAACTTAATCTGTCTGCCTGTAGTTATCCAGTTGTTCCAGCACTATTTGTTGAAAAGACAATTCTTTCCTCTGTTGAGTTATTTTGGCACCTTGTCAAAAATCAATTGACCATAAATGTATGGATCTATTTATGGACTCTCTATTCTGTTGATCTATAGGTCTATTTTTATGCGAGTACCACACTATTAATTACTGTGGCTTTATAATTAGTTTTTTTTATTTATTCATGAGAGAGAGGCAGAGGGAGAAGTAGGCTCCCTGTGGAGAACCTGATGCGGGACTCGATCCTGGAACCCTGGAATCACAACCTAAGCCAAAGGCAGACGCTCAACCACTGAGCCACCCAAGCATCCCCTTATAATAAGTTTTAAAATTGAGAAATGTGAATCCTCCAACTTTGTTCTTTTTATGAGATTGTTTTGGATATTCTGGGTCCCTTACAGTTCCATATGAATTTTACAATCAATCTATCAATTTCTCACAAAAAAAAAAGAATAAAAAGAAAATGAAGCTGAAATGTTGATAGGGACTGTGACTGTGTTTGTTTTGCATACCAATTCTGGAGGCCCGGGGTCATTTTACAAAAGGAAATTTCTCCAGTTCATAACCCAAGTAATATACATCTGGGGTCTTTACCCCTGTGCACCAGACCCAGCAATGGTTACCTGAACATTAGATATTCCTTGATAGAAAGATATTATGTTCTACTCTTTGCACTCTGTGTAATAATCTTTATTTATAGGGCACTTTACAAATGTGAAGCACGATATTCGAAGCCAACTTTTGGTTTAATCACTAGATGACTAGTTACTTCGCAAGAAAAATCATTTTAATCCTACATGATATCAATTTAGGTGTAATAATCCTTGGGCTTAAGTTTGGGTGTGAGTTTAGCAAATATTTCTAACCGCAAAGCTAACTGCTGCTAAAATGACCTTTTAAGAAAACTACATAGATTAGGCAGACCATCTGCCTCTCAATTGCGTGGTCCAAGATGATCAAATACTAGTCCCTATCGCACACGACTAATGCAGAATTTCGCAAAACAATCTATTCCCTTTATCATTATATCCTAAGCAATATATCACTTACACCATTTCTTTCCATTTTGATTTAGGAATTAAATTTGAATTAGGAACACATTGCTGCCTGCAGAGGGCAGTCATAACATATCTAGACATTCAAAACCAGAAGCTCTACCTGGAATAGAACACTAGTGGATAAACTGCTGATCCCCAAAACAGATAATCCTGTTGCTTCAGATAGTGAAGCAGGGTGATCCCCAGCTGGCTGAGAGATAGCACAGCATCCACCAGGCGAAGAGAAGTAGACTGGATCCTGGGCTAGTGCTGTTAAAATCAGGCTGCAGGACTCATTTAGAACTTTATTGTTAAACATGCCCAGTCTTCCCCAAGACAACCAAGAGTGCCTCCAGGAACATTTCTCCAGACCATCTATGTGGAAGCAATTTCTGCCCCTGCGTAGGGCAGAGGGATATAAAGCAAACATTCACGAAACCATGGAAAATGAAGGTAGCACCAAGGCTGTGCATGATATCAAGGTAAGACAATCTCCACAACCCCTGATCCTTTCTTGACAAGGAAAATTTTTATCTGGAAAGAATATAAAACCATAAGCAAGCTTTCATACTATTGCTCTATCTTACTAATAGTTTATCAAAATGTTTTCAAGCTAACCCCAAGAGAAAAACTAGAACTTTGATAATAATTACCAGATCTGTCCAGTTTTCTCCAACCTAAACAGCTTCCCTTTACGAAGACAAATGCTTATTTATTGTTTGTTTGTTTGTTTGCTTGTTTGTTTCAGGAGGGGTAATGTTTTTTAAAAAAGGAAATCTAGCCATAGATTTTTATGACTGTTGATATTTTGTGGCTATTGTAGCTTGGATATTTTTCTCTGAAATAAAATTTATTTCTCGTACAGTATTGAAAGAAAAACTATAAAAAAAAAGAAAGAAAAACTATAGACTGCTTTCTACAAAAATTGCTCAAGAAAAAAATTGATAAAATAATACAGGAACATAAGAACATTAAGAAGCTAAGGGATATTTTTTCCTGAATTCATAGTTTCCTATGGTGAATTTTTTAAGCATGAATTTCTATCAATAGGTAACATTATTTCCCCAAAGAGTGACAATTTGCCTGCTCAGTGTTGTGTGTATCTTTGCAGTTTAAGTCTGTAAATCCTCTTAACTATAAATAGAACCATCTCTTAAAAGGTTATTCAGAGAAAGGGGGATGGGCCTATGTTACTGCCTACAAATAATCAGAGCTCAGAATTAAATGCTGCAATCATACTACAGCAAACCTATCCAAATACTTTAACACCAAAAAACTGATCCGTCCTTGTGCCATGGCTCATATCCTGACAATAATCATGATTTATTATTGGATATCTTATTTTAACCAATTGGCACAGGAAGAAGAAAAATGTAGAAATGTACTGACCTTCACTTTTGACCTTTCAGACAGATGTGAACAAATAATATGTGATATTCACAGCTCCTATTATCACCTGAGCACTAGGTCTTTAGGAAGCTAAAATGAAATAGATATACTGGCTGGAAGTCCTTAATTAATGGGCATCTAAACCTAAATGTAGGGAACCTATGCAAAAGAGATTTCTGAAAGGTAGAATTTGGAGGTTACTCTGCGGAAATAGCAACAACAACTTAGATATATTTTATGTGTGTGCACACATATACTTTCAAAGTTCTAACTGTATTGAGGGGTACTCTTTAAACAGAATCATAGGCAGATAAATTGGAAAAGTATTTATGAATCAGCAATACATCTTCCCACAGCATCCTGGAATCAAATACACTTCCAGTACTGGACAATCCTACCTGTGATACTGACCTCATTCACCCAGATAAACAGGTTCTAGCCAGTACAGCAGCAGGTATGAGTAGTCAGGAGTGATCCAGCTGAGATGCTACTGGCCTTCCCACTCAGTTTTGCCTCCTCAAAAAATCTTATGTTGCATCTGAACATAGATACACATATAGGTGAACACGTCCCTCTTCTAGCATATATAAGGATGATAGAACTCAATCCATTTTAATTCTATAAATAGCATTGCATCCTTACTATGTGTAAAACCTGGGTTAGGTTTTGCGAAAGAAAAAGATATGCTCCTTCTCCTTGGCAGACTTACAATACATTGGAAAACAGACAAGCATATCAACATTTATTAAGTTACCGTATTATCACCATACTCATGTCAACAGTAGAGGATATCTATGTAACTATATTCTTTTTGTCAGTAAGGCAGTAAAATGTTAGGGATGGCATATGACCAATATAGAGTAAAACAACTGAAAATTGCCTAATGAAAGAGTTAAAGAGATGAAATTTAAAGTAGACGTGAAATAATGTCTTAGAAATATGGAAAAGTGGGCAGCCCGGGTGGCTCAGTGGTTTAGGGCTGCCTTCAGCCCAGGGCATGATCCTGGAGACCCAGGATCAAGTCCCACGTCAGGCTCCCTGCATGGAGCCTGCTTCTCCCTCTGCCTGTGTCTCTGCCTCTCTCTCTCTCTCTCTCTGTGTCTCTCATGAATAAATAAATAAAATCTTAAAAAAAAAAGAAATATGGAAAAGTAGACAGGGAGAGTATGGGATGGAATGTGTTTAGATGTCTAGAGGCCAGTGATAAAACCTTCAAAAATCTTCAACCTAAGCCTCATACATTATACAGAAATTAATTCAAAATGCATCATGGACTTATAAAATGTACAACTGTAAGTAAAACTATAAAACTTTCAGGGGGAAATTTTTGTTAATCATTGTGATTAAGGCTAATCAGAGTTCTTGGGCATCAAAAGTATAGTCCATAAAGGAAAAATTAAAAAGTTGAATCTCAGAATATAAAAAATAAACATTTGCTCTGCCAAAAACTGTTAAGAGGATAAAAAGACAAACTACAGACTTTGAGAGAATATTTTCAAACCGCATAACTGACAAAGCCCTCACATTTAGAATATATAAAGAATTCACAAAGCTCAAAAATAAAATAGCAAACAATCCAACTAGAATATGGGCAAAGAAATTGAACAGGCATTCCATCAAAGAGCATATACAAATGGCAAACAAACACATGAAAAGATAGTCAACATCATAGCCATTAGGAAAACACAAACTAAAAACACAATAAAATATCACTACACACCTATCAGAATGGCTAAAATGAAAAGCAGTGAGGGGTGCCTGGGTGGCTCAGTTGGTTAAGCATCTGACTCTTGATCTCAGCTCAGGTCTTGCTTTGTCTCAGGATTGTGAATTGAGCCCAGGGTCGAGTCTACTAAAAAAAAAAAATAAATAAAGTGACAAAACCTAGTGCTGGCAATGAGTAAACTTGTGAAATTGAAATAAATGCTATGGATTGTACCAATGTCAGTTTCCTGGTTTTGATAATGGACAATAGTCATGCAGTTTCCATGAGGGAAACTGAGCAAAAGGTGCCTGGAACCACTCTGCCCATTCTCTCTTGGAACTTACTATGAATCTATAATTATTTCAAAATAAAAATTAAAAGAAAACAAAGACAGTTACACTGATGTACCAACACAGTGTTGCCTACATTTATTGTTCTGGTTCTTCCAGTTCTTTTCATTTGGATCCTTAACCACTTTGATTGGGTCAGTAGCACTAGTGTCATTAGACCCGTTTTAGAGATGGGAAAACAAGTTTTGAAATACTGTTGGTTATGTGTGTGAAGTCATCTGAGTGGTGATTTGAACCTAGAGTTTTTTGGGGCACTGATTTTATTACTAATTCAATAGCTTCTGATAGCGATTTAGAAAGTAGGCTATAATTTCAGAGGCTTGACGACAGACTTCTTAATAGTGTTTTGTAGCTTAAGTGTTAATAGTGTTTTGTGCATTCAGCCCAAAGTACACCAACATGGACCACTAATTTACTACAAAATAAATTAATACCCCCATCCACATAATCACACACCCATCTCCAGCAGAATATTTTTTCTGCATCAGGATTTTTGCTTCCTTTAATTCAGGGCATGGAATGCAGGTAGGGGGCAGAGGACCCTCTAGGCCAACCATTCTTCCTAAGTGATAGACATGAGAAAGAGAGAAAGCATTAAAGCCACAGTGGCAAGAAGTCAAATCCATCTATTGACATAGATTTATATGTATATGTGTCAATGCATTCTTCTTCAGTAATAAACATGGTCAGAGCTTAGACGAAAGTTGTTTCCAAAAAAAAAAAAAAAAGAAAGTTGTTTCCATAAAATCATTTTTTTTAACCCAGAGATCAAGAGTCGCATTCTCTACAGACTGAGCCAGCCAGACCCCTCCACAAAATTATTTTTCATACCATTCCAACATCAATGCATCTCTAAGAACACAGGCTTCTAAGTGCCCTCCTGTCCAGACGTGTAATCCCTTGAGCAGCTGATCAAAGCACTTGTTTTGAGACGTTATACACTAAAAGGAGAAAAACAAATGTCAGGGCCCCAAAAGGTAGCTACAAAGACAATGAAGCTTTGTGTGATGAAAAAGATACAGAAAAGAAGAAAAAAAGTCTTCGTAAAAAGGAATTATGCTTCTGATATCCAATACTTTAACATTAATGTATTCAGAAGACAAAATCAGTTTGTCCTGCCTCCATTTGTGAAAGAGTAAGCCCAGTAAGAAGGATAAAATTGGTTCTTTTTTTTTTTGAAGGCCCTCTGAAAAGAATTCGGTAGTAATTAGTTTAACATTTGAGATGTTCACATAAACCTTTTCAGAAAAAGTTTCATTTGGAAGCCTGTTGTGATTATATCTTCCATAGTTAGCATGCAAATGTTAATTGGCAATCCTCCAGTAACTCCTGTAGGATGTTCTAGATGAGGCAAAGGAGTATAGCTATCTTTATTATTATTGTTGTTGTTGTTCATTTCTTTTGTTTCTTAAGTTTCTCATATGAGTGAAATCATATGGCAGCTTTCTTTCTCTGACTGACTTATTGCACTTAGCATAATACTTCTTAACTTTCCGGATACTGTGGCATGGCCATGGAATCCTACAAGGGCGGTACATGACCACTTCAGTGTAAAACCCACATAGTGCTTCTCTTCTCACCTTATAATTCTCTGAAGCACTAAATAACTGAAGACAATTGATTTATGACAAGAGAGCCATGGAGAAAAAACTCTATGTCCCAAGAATTATTTATACCAAGTGTCACTGCAGCCCCATGTCTACATCACTGCCGGGACAGCCTGCCTACTTAGCCAGCGTGCTTTCTGCCACTACTGATGGCTTTGGCTGTAGGTTGGTGTTGACTGTGCTACCAGGGCATACTCCTGTAGAAAACAGAAATATTTTAATAATATATATCTGTGTTATATTCATTGTAATATTCAAGCAGGTGTTGCATTTTGGAAATTAGTGAAATGTTACCAAAAAAAAGAAAAGTTAATGGAGTTAAGACATTCAGTCATTGATTTAAAAGGGGAGGGAGGGAGGAAGTCTTTAACAGCAGACCAGATGCCACAAAAATTAAAATAATCAAAATAAGAAATATCAAAATAGAATAA